ACAGTCCAGCCATGAAATACATGGGGTACAATCTTAGATCCTGCTATAAACTGAATGAAATTCTGATGACAGGGACACATGCATGTGTACACACAGAGACCCAAAATGCCCAATATGAAATTTATCTTTCTCAAAGCCACTATACACTGGCTCAATATTTTCAGAGGGGCAGCACTGGGGATATGATAGTGCTTTTTAGTATCACTCCTCCTCCATACAAGGGCTGATTAACCAGTACCTTGACTTTTTTAAAACAAACAAATCTTGGGATTTTCTGTGTAGGTATTTAGAATTCTGAGCCAGAGAACACTAGTGCCTTGCTAAACGACGTATCCCAGGATTGCATTGGCTGCAGCCATGGCAATTAAAGTGGAATCATTGCTATAACTATGTAGTGTGAAAGGGACCCAGAGGCAGGACTCTTCCTACCTCAAAGGCATGCATGGTTTCAATTTATCATCATCATCATCACCATCATCTTATATCTTCCCTTTCTCCCCAATATAGGGACTCGCCTCTCAACCCACCAGGGATCCCAGGTGATGTACAATTGATTTAAAAAACAACAACACACTTTTCAAACATTAAATACGGTAAATAAATAGCAGTCCAAACTCCTCTTTAAAAAATAGTTTTAAAAGCAGGCAAATTTTAAAAACAGTTAGAACAATGGAGCTGTGAAAGAGTGAGATCAGCATCGCTCAAAGTACAACCAGTGATAAATCTCTTAACAATGACCATTCAGAACAATGGCTGAGTGATAACACAAACATCTTTGCATTGATGAGCTGAGTAATACATATAGTATGATTAAAAACCCTGTCGCCATAGGGTTTTCTTGGTAAGTTTCTTCAGAGGGGGTTTGCCATTGCCATCCTCTGAGGCTGAGAGAGTGTGACTTGCCCAAGGTCCCACAGTGGGTTTACATGGCCAAGTGGAGCTCTGAACCCTGGTCTCCCAGTGTCTGAGTCCAATGTTCAATCCACTATACCATTTACTGCCCCTAGATCTTGCTGAACCCCAAACC